ATACTTCACTTTAAAGTTTGTGTAATTTTTTCCAACGTAGGCTTAGTAAAATTTTCAGATGGAATTAAGCTAAAATTATGTCATAAATTAGGATTATGAACCACTTTTATAGTTATAGCAGTATTTATTAGTATAAAAAAAGACAAATTCCATCAATATTTTTTTCCAAGCGCCCATATTAGGGAATATAGTTGCGCTATCTACGGCACTCTTGGTTGAATTATAAGATATTTTAGGTGGAATTTTTATCATAGAACAATACATTATGTGTTGTGACAATACCTGGACAACTTTTAGGTTTTAGCTGTAAGAGAAACTAATACAATTTTAATCTCCCATTTCCCCCGTTCAAGATAAATTATATTTTTAATATATCCTTCTCTAAAATGAAGAATTACTCACTCTCTGCCATTTATGGCAATTTATGCTACTTTACCTATTTCAGTAGACAGAGCTATAATCAAAGGCGAAATACCTTAATTTATCAACCAAAACCATCCTCCTTTATATCAACTGTAAAAAATAATTCCTATTTCACAATTATATTACATTTTTAAATGATCATTTTCTATAACTTTCAGTATCGTCCTCTATAGAATTTTATTAAAAATATTATAATATATATAATTTTTTTTAAAATAATATGGGAAAAAAAACTTTGATACTAAACATGGGTCTAATAGACCGGAAATTATTTTTATTCATAAAACTATGAAATTTTAAAAAAAGAAATTTTTTTTTTGCCAATTTCTAATTAATAACTATAAAAAATGTTATTCGTATATCTTAAAAATTATTCCATGTGAATAGTGGGAAATAATTTTAAAAAAAAAAGTTTGAAAACTAATAATCTGAAAGATCCATGTTTTAGTGAATTAAAGCTCGAAGAGCAAAACCATGTGGCAATATATCGAAGAAGATAGTATAAAACTCAGATAAGAACGAACTAAAATTTTGGATATAAACGAAAAATGACTCCTGAGCAAGATATGATCGTTCACGCCCTCACCCAAAGAGTTCTTATTTTTACACGAAAATTGGCTCATAGCAATGTCTGACTCTTTTCAGTTGCTTCCTCGATGAAAGAAAAAATCAAGCTCATTCATTACTTCCTTCCTGATAATCCTAGTGGTGAACATATTATATAAATAATTATTAAAATGATAATAATACAATTATATTATAGTCCTAGATTTGTTATCAAGAATTGATTTATAAAAATTACATTCCCTATTAATTCCCTATTAGGAACAATGTGAGTTATAATTTACATTATTAAAAAAAAAACTTTATAAAATTCGTCGAGGAAATATTTTTCATTTTATTTCTAAATTGATATTGTACAGGACAAACTATCAGCTTACCCTAGATTTTTTTCTAGTAGGACACATTTAGTCACCCTTCAAGTTTACGAGATATATCACCCATGTATGCCCAATTTGTCGGGTCTTCGGTCCGCTTTTGATTATCCATTATTAATGGGAATTTATATATAAATGCATCTGATCCAAAACAACATATAGATTTTTTTTAAATGTGTAAAAATTTTAGAAATTCAACTGAAATGAAACTGATTTCTGGAATGAACTAAACAAAAAAAAAATATTTGGAAAAATTTGCTTAAAATTTTACTTAAGGATTTATAAAGAAAAAAAATTTGTCCATTTGAATAAATATACCAAATTTTTATTACGTTTAATTAATAACTTTTTTAAATATCCTGTTCCAAGCATAATTGGGTAAAGCTTAAATCAGCCTTGGCTCAACCTGAAGGAGTGCGCCAAATAAAATCCGTTAAGCTTGAAACGCGAACCATTTCGGCATATTTCCAAGAAAAAATCTCTAAACTGAGGTGATAACAATTTTTTCAGTTAGAAAAAATAGAGCAATTGACCATCTATAGACTCTTGGCAATAATTACATATTTATAGACTTAGCTAACGTTATTAATCATTTAAATGTTGAAAATGAATATGATAGTGAGAGGACCTGAAAAATGATTAATGAAAAGATGATAATGGGGGGTCAAATCTATAAAATATAATGATATAAAATTCAACACAACATTTAAAAAATGATTTCATTATTATTATTATAGCTATTATAATTTACTGAATACATATAACACAAGTTATAAATATTTAATTAATATTTTTTATCGATTTAACTTTACAATATCTATCTAAGTGATGGACTAAGAGGTAAATTTCTCATCTAGGATTATACCCTGTGTTACCATTTTATCCAGGAAATATCAATAGTACAACACACTCCCTCAAGCCAAAACAAAAAAGATAAACAAAGACAAAACATTGAACAACTTCATTTTTACTCCAATTGTCACTTCCACAGGTAGACATTTTGCCTCTAACACCTGTGGAGGCCAAAAAATTCCTTTTCTTAAGACAAAAAAAAATGCAAATTAAAATATTTTAATAATATAGATGTATAGTTTTTAATTGTTAATATGTATATTTGAAATATTTGAATTTAAAAAAAATTTATCATCTAAGGTGTCATGTTAGAAGACAAATATGCTTCAGTTCGTTTTCAACCTCGTGATTATCTCAGCACGCAAATATATAATCATTAAATTTCTAATAGCAATAAAAATCGGAAATATCATTAAAGCTTTAAGAATGATGATTGCACTAAGATTTTAAATTTCTTCAAAAAACATTAATACTAGCCTTCATTTGTAAAACATTCGTTCCTTTATAAATTTCCAGAAGAATGTAACCTGAAATTTTTTTCAAAAATATAATTTAACTAACTTTAAATTTGGATGATATTTGTACCAATAAGGTAAACAATAATATTAACATACCAAATATGAGTTATTATTTTTTTAAATAAAATTCAAATTTGCATTTTCTTTCTTTCTTTCTTTCTTTCTTTCTTTCTTTCTTTCTTTCTTTCTTTCTTTCCTTTTCTTTCTTTTCTTTTTTCTTTTTCTTTTTCTTTTTCTTTTTCTTTTTCTTTTTCTTTTCTTTATTTGTGATGTGCTAAAACAAATTTAAAAAAAAAAATAATTGCAACAATTTGCGGCGAAGTATATAAAAATACACAAAAATAGCGCATATTTTGTATACTCCGCCAATTCTAACTAACTCTAGGATAACCTCTCACAGGCACTTAACGCTAAGGAGCGGCGGGGAATACAAAAATACAGCTAAATTTTTTTCAATTCGCAACGAATTTGCCGTTAATTATGAAAGCTGCTGGGTAAACACAGAAAATATATTTGTTTAAGCCCTTTTTTTTGCTAAATTGCGATAGAATGCTTCACATTCAAAATTTGGGTTTGATATAATCCCACCCCCTACTAACTCCTTTATTAGATAATTTTCGACAGAAGAAAGGATTTTCAAATCACCTGCAATCCTTATTTCCTCAAACTACGAGTTTGCCCATCTATCGAGCTTTATTTTATCCTCAAAAATATCCCTTTAATTTTCGCAAAATTTAATTTTGAAGTTCTTTTTAAAATAGAATATTATATCAAGTTAGAAAGAATGTTATTAAACGGCTATTTTGAGCCGATATTCTAAAACGGCTAATATTTTATTAGGAATTATTATTGCAAGCCTTAAGATTTTGCCCATAGGTGGCACATAGGCTTGAACATCTATTAACAAAATCTCGAGGCTTAGACAATATTTTTCTGGCTAAAAATATTGAGTTAGCCGGATTTAACAACACTAGTTAAGGAATAATATAATTTTTACAGGGGTATTTTTAAAAAATATATTCGAAAAAATTAAATAAATTATTGAAGGTCAATATTTCCCATCTAAAAGTGAAAGGAAAGATAAATTTCTAAAATATATTTTTAAAAATAAAAAAAATAAAAAATACCAATTATAAATATTATTGTATTTTTATTTTGGGAAATAACCTGAACGAGAAAAGGAAAATTAATTTCGATAATTTTTTATATATGAAATCATCACCCATTTAAAGTAAAAATTTTGAAATTTTTTAATATGAAAAATACTTTTTATAAAAATATAAGCCAAAAAAATATATATATAAATAAAATCGATATTTTATCTTTGTGTTTTTGTTTTTGTCACCTAAAAATTAAATTTTTCGCGACTCACTATTTCCCACCTTGAAATTTTATTTTATTTTTTTTTAAATATTTTTTTTTTAACCTAATAACATATAAAAGAATATATCGGAAAAATAACAAATTTTTTATTTTCGGACTATTTATTCTGTAATATAACCTTAAATAATTGATTCTTCTATCTATTGTATTTAATTTTATATGGTTCCCTTCTTCTAATAAGGAAATTTAGATTAAAATTAATCGCTTTAATAACAACTTTTTCATTTCTTTTAAAAAATTTTTTCCTTCTTAGAACATTTGTATCAGTATTTTTAGAATTATGGTTAGACATTTATATAATATATAATATATATATACCGGTGAAAATTATTATTTTTAAAAAAAAAATTATTTCCTTTTAAGAACATTTGTATCAGTATTTAATTTAGAATTATTTGGTTAGGCATTTAGTAAAAATTACTTTTTTTTTAAAAAAAAAACTATATCTTTTTATTACATTAAATTTATTGATTTTTTTTTAAATATAAAAAAAATTTTAAAATTAAATTTCGGATAATGAAGACTCAAAAAAAATAAAACAACTACATTATTATACGACCTATTCGAGATATAAAGAAAATATATTATTTTTTAGATAAAATATTCAAGGTAAATAGGATAGGATCTTTATTTATTTTTTATACATAATTATAATTATAATTATTTATAATTCATTTTAAAAAAAATATCTAAATTAATTATTTATATAAAATATTTTTATATTATAATATTATATATATAGAATTGGAAAAAAAAAGATAGCTTAGAAAATATTTAGCGAAAAATAATATTTAAATGATAGGAATTGTTGTCCTTGAAAAAAAAATTAAATAAAAATAACTTGAAATATTCTTTAAAAATATATACAAGAAAATGCTTTAGCCGGAAAATGATGCGACTAGTGTGTTTTGCACGTGTTATCATGTGGACTTATCCATTTGGAATAATGCCGTATTCTTAATTAGAAAATACCATTTTTTTTAAAAAAAAACACAAAAGGTAAAAGTTTGTATATTATTTTTTTTATTGGCATCAATTATTTTCTTAGTTCGAAGTAATAATAATTGTTGGGAAGCCATCAATTTCTTGATTAATGGAATTCAAAGTTATAGGTCTTGTTTTAAAGAAATAATTTTTTTTTAAATGTATCCCCATCGGATATTTTTAAATTGTTTTAAGATTACTTGATAGGGAGTCAATCTCCCTTTATGGATCCCTGGTAAATAGTGCTATCCACATAATCAAGGCTCAAATTGAAAGTAATAATATAAGGAATATTCCTGCTCATCAATCTATGAAAACCACGGTTGCTTCCTAAAAATTTTACATTTTTTGGGGGTTTCATCTTCATTTTTCAAACTTTTCCTTCCTTTCACCCCCTGAACCTGAAAAATATAAAATGTCCTTGATGTTATCATAAAATCGGTGATCTTAAAAATCAGATATCTCCACCCAATTTAAAGTCGTTTGTCGCAAAAAAAAATTTCCTAGGAATTTGAGATGCGGAGTTTATTGCTTTCTTCAAATTTAATCTTTATCTAGGTTTAACCATTTTTTTTAAGCCAGGTAAAAGTAATACTATTATCCCTACTAAATTTTTACCCGTCTTTCCTTCAGTGCTTGTTTTTTTTGGACAGCTTGAAATAATTGAATAATAATTTAAAATTAAACTAAATTAAATTATTAAGAGTCTTATCTTAGAGCATAAATCTTATGATTTATTATTTCTTAAAAAACTTTGGATGAGAAATAAATATTGGTAATATTGATATTTCCCGCATAAAAAAAAGGTATATAAATAAATCAAATAAAGTAATAATATCAAGCCCCCCCTCCCCACTCCAATCATTTTAAAATCGGTCTTTCACTTTTTTGACAAAAAAAGGACAATTGATTTCTACCCCTATTTTAGGTGTTATCTTGCTTATATAGTTATTTTAAACAGATTTTTTTTTTAAAGAAATTTTTTATTTCAACTTGAAAATTACAAAATACATATCTATAAAAAAATTTTTGGCATTTTTAAGGTAAAATTTAATAAAAAAAATCCCCTTTTCCTTAAAAAAAAAATCTTCAAAGATTTTTGCTTAAATTTTTATTTGAAAAATTTAAACTTCGTTTTAAAAAATAAACATGGTTTATATATAATTTACGTTTTAAAAAATTTGTATGAAATAAAATCTATAGGTATTAAATATTAAATTAATGTTTTTTTTTCCCAATTTTATGTTAGTACTTCCTGAATGTTATTATCCTTCATATTTTTTAATTGAATTGATTTGAAAATCATTCTGTATACAATTTAAAATTTTTTTTTATAATTCCTGATTCCTTAGCCTCCCAAAATATTTATCCGTTAAGAAACTAATGGATATATAACAAATACAATATGCATTAAATATATATACATTTTTTAAAAGAAATTCCATCACGTGAATTACGAACTTTTAAAGAGTGTTTGTTTTTTTTTTTAAAAAAAATCAATTCTCAGTTGACAGATTGAGAGAAAGTTTATTAAAATGTTTCAGCTATCCCTAAAAGAAGCATTTTTATTTGATACATTTCAGATTAGTGGCGATAGTTAAACAGCTCGTTTTGAGCCAATTTTTTTAAAAAAAAAACTACTAACTCAAATATTTTATTCAGAATAATATTATGTAAGCCTTAAGATTTCGCTCATAGATGGCACAAAGGTTTGAACATAAATTAACAAATTCTCGAGGCTTAAACAATATTTTTTCTGGGCTAAAATATTGAGTTAGCCGTTTTTTAAAATATCGACTCAAATCTAGTGTTGTTAAAACGGGTCGTTTTGAGCCGATTTTAAAAAACCAGCTGACTCAATATTATAGCCAGAAAAATATTGCCTAAGCATTGAGATTTTTCGATTATATGTCTAGAATTTTGTTCCTTCTATGAACAAAATCTTCAGGCCTGCTCAATATTTTTCTGGATATAATATTAAGTCAGCCGTTTTTAAAAATCGGTGCAAAACGAGCTGTTTAACGACATTATTTCAGATAATATAAAATTTAAAAATAATTTCATTCTCATATAATTACACAGGTCTCCCATGATTTTTTTTTTAAAAAAAAACATAATTTTAAGAACGTTTCGGGAAGGAATATTGTTTTTCTTCTTCTTTCTTTCAAAGAACTTGGAACTTTTCGGAATCGTTTATAAAAAATATATATTCTGGAATTTTGGGGATAATTTATTTAAATCTCGCTTTCGTTCCTATTTATATTTTCTTAAAAAAATCTGGCGTATGATTTCTTGAAATGTCACAATTCCATTTGGAAAGAGGTAAATATATTTATAAATGATCGGTTTCCTAATAAATATGTTGAATCGCGATATACAACAATTTAGTGGTCCCTTTTGATTACTTATTTATTTTGGAGCAGTGTTTAAAAATGACACAAATTTCGTAGGATATTTGCCTGCCCATTATGCTTTAAAATCCCCATGACATTAATAATAATTTTAAAAAATCTTATAATGAGCCACCATTTATGACCTCTCAACATTATATTTATTTATTTCACATAACACCTAATTAAAAATATTAATAAAATTTTAATTAAAACTCTTTCAGTCCTCGTGATTTAGGCCGCTAGGAATAACAAATAAAAGGTTTGTTGGTAAATAATCAGCTAGTTGGGTTACCACCGTATTCACAAAAATTTGCCACGCGGCCATAAATTCAAACCTTGCAAATGTTATTCTTTGAATAATGAATTATTATAAAATGTAAATCCGCCATTAAAATCATAAATATCCATTCAATAAATTCATTTTTTGGAACACCTATTTAGATGCCTACCACCTACTCGTCCCCTATACCCCTTCAAAAATCTAGAGGCAAATCGCTCCTATCCTCATCTCTCAAGTAGATGCTCATGCCGGTGCCCGATCAGGGCAAATTCGGCAAAATATTTATGACAGGGCCAGGACCGTCCGGAGGGCAAATTTATAACAAAAAAAACTATTACATGCGTGGCCAAAAAAAAATCTTTCAAAAATCTTTCCCGAACTCTAGTTTTTATATCCTTTTCTCGTCGTATTCCCTCTTTGATATAACCTTATTTATTCCCGGAAAAAAATGGATAATGCTGATCTTCTATATGAGTGTTAGGTAGCTAACTCTTCACCCGATATTATTTCATACATTACATACATATAAAATCATTGTAAAACATATATAATTGGATATAATAATTCTTATTATATTACATTCTACATATATATTTTCATTATATCAATATTTAAATATTAATGTAAAATCATTCAATTATAAATATAATTTCTAATTTACTACATCTTCCTACATAACATCCTTTTTTCTATTTATAATCATATATAAAACGTTCAAATCACTTAATGATTTTTTGAAATTTTGAGAATGAGTTTGTCTAACCAGACCAGAACATCAGAACATATCTAGGATTTTTCGGTTAATAAGAGGAGGGGGGGGGTGTTGCATTAGAGGCTACAGAGTTGTCAAACGGTTCGATTTTTAAAAATTGCTCACTCAATATTTTAGCCAACAAATATATTTTGCAAAAAATTGGAGATTTTGTTCATAGATCATGACGACAGAAAGGTTTGATCATAAATTCTTGTGGCTCGCGTAATATTATTTTGGCGAAAACTTTAATTTAAAATTAGCTAAATCATGTCGTTTAATAACACTTAAATTTATTGTAATTTGGTATTTAAAAAAAAAGAGAAAGAAGAAAGATTACATTAAAATGTTTGATCTCCGAGGAGACATAAAATTTAGTTCAACTAAAGCGAAGGCTATAACTATTTCCGACCACCCGATTTATTTAACTTTATTTAACTTTATTATTTATGTCCAATATTATATTTTTTTTTAAATGTAAAATGTCACATTGTATATGCTGCATTAAAGAAAAAATCGATGTTAAACACGATGTATTATGGAGATACAGAGTTAAACAATATAGTCATTAATAGCGAGGAGTTAATTATTACAAATTTGCCATAAAGATTACGTCAAATAGTTATGCTGTTAAATGGCTAGATTTTTTTTTAAAAAAATGGCTAACTCAATATATTAACCAAAATATATTACGCAACTCTGGAGATTTTGCTCGTAAGGTGGCAGAAATGTTTAGACATCTATTAACAAAATCGTAATATTATTTTGAACTAATATCTTAATTAAAATTGACGAAATAGCTGTTATAACAACACTATCAATAGGTCTCTTGCCGGACTTTCAAATCTGATTTATCCTAACTATATATATAAATTTTTTTACTATATATATACCTTTTTATAATAACTACTCTTTCGCTGAACCACTACATCTGGCATCAAAGTTCAAAAAAAAAAGATTTTCATATTTATTTTGGGTATAAATGACAAAATAGCTATTTTAATTATAATAATTTTTCAAATATTTAACATTAAAACCTTTCAGATTTTTTTTTTCCCTGAATATTATTTAAAGTATATATATATAACCTATATTTAGAAACTTTTTCCAACCCTCTTTATACCATCCATCATTCAAGCTCATAAATATATTTACACATTTTATATTTAAAATTTAAACTCATAATTGTACGAAATTTTGTCCCCCTCCCCAATTGTTTTTTTTATTTAGTTTTTTTATTATTTAGTTATTTTTAGTTAAAATTTGACCTGGTATTTTGCTATATTATATCATTTGTACTTCAGTAAATTTATGCGATGACGCAGATTTTAAACCTGCAATAGGAAGGACATATACATTCATTTTATTTTTAAAATGAGAAAATTTAGTAAAGATTTCTCTATTTTATATAATATAAGTTTCCTCAAAATAAATAAAAAAAAATTTTACTTCTTTACTTTGAACTAAATTGGAGTAATTTTATTTTTTGGCTAATATAATATATTAATCGTGTCTATTTGGAACTAACTTTGTCCCTAATAAGTTATTTTTTGTCAAACTGATTAAATTTAATTGTACAAATAATAATTGGTTATTAGGATTAATATTTTTTTTTAATATGTAATATTGATTTAAGGGGTATACACCGATTTTAGATTATTATACCAATTTGTATTTATTGAAGTTGAATTTCGCTAAATTCCATTTATATTAGCAATTAGATTTTCTATAAAATTATTACTGGCAAAGACTTTTATATATATTTTTTAAATAAAATATTATTTTTCTAGAGATAAACTCTACAGGATAGTTATTACTTTACTATGAACAAATTTCCCTCTAACAACAACACCACAAAGTCTTCACTCTACCAAAATAACCTTAACGCGACTTCATCTTTCGCTTTATTTACCTCAAAACCTAACTTATTTAAACAATTAGACAATTTTGCCAAAAGAATAAAATGCCGATACTTAACCAAAACCAACAGATCTTATACAGATTTGAGATTTCCTATCAAAGACGAAATTATTTTAGCCAGAACTCGTAATGGTATATCTGAGAATTTAAAGCCCTGTACCAAATCACCTCGCGATAATCATGGGGGAAAAAGCGATGGTTGGAAATCTGCTTCTATATATAATAATAATAATAATGATAATAATAATCAATATAAGGGTATAATATTTAAAGAATCTAGATTAGATATAATCAATGGCCCATATATCGGAGTAAAATCAGCCAAGACTATAATCGAGGAAGGTAAAACTCGGGAGCAATATTCTCCTCCATTCCTCGATACAAATACTAAAAATTCATCACTTAATAATTTATATGATAATGATACCATTATAAACAATTTACCCGATTCTATCAGCGAAACGCAAAAATTTGCAGAAAATGAAAAGATAAAGGACAAGGAAAACGAGGGTTGGTTCAAAGGGCTCTCTAGCAAAACAATAAGGGAAAATAGTGATGGGTCAAGTAATTTCGATTCCTTTAACTACGAATATAGACATGCCAAAAGCGACTCCTTTCAGAACCACGTACTCGATCCTAAAAATGTCGATGGTAGTCAAATTACAAGTGTGCCTAGTTTATACCTCCTAAAAAGTTCGCTAGCTGCATCCGATAATCATCAAACATCACAAACGATCGAAAGTAAGAACTCATTTTTGAATCCGTACTTCCTGAACGGACATTTGATTCGTGTTTCCAATTTTTTGTACGTGGGAGACTTAGAAGCAGCCTACTGCGAACAAGTGCTCTGCAAATTAAATATAGAAGGCTTAGTCGATGTAAGTGGAATGAGCGAGAAAGAAGCTGGTATATATCTGAATAAAAAAATAGGCTGGGGCTCCACAATTTTTAAAACTTGTACCTGCGCAAGAGAAACGTCTCATGTTAGAGCTAAATTAAAGGTCAATTTATTGACGGAATTAGCCATACCACCCAATTCTACAAAACCATTCAATTCAAATAACTATAACATGGATAATAACATTAATGATAATGTAAATATTTTAGATAGAGGAACAACCAATAATAAAAAATTAAACATTAGAAATAATAATCATGAAAGTTTAGAGGGAAGTCAATTGATTGGCAAAACTCAAACAAAGGGAAAAGTTCCTATGGTTGACCACGTATCCTTTTTCGAAGAAATCAATAAATTTTTAGATCATTACAGACAAACGGGTAAAAGAATCTTACTTTTTTGCGAAGCTGGCAAGGCAGGAGGTGCCTCTACTGTGGTTGTCATTCAGTATTTGATGAGAGAAAGTGGACTTCCCTTGAGGCGATGTTATGGTATTATAAAAAGACTTTACGGAGATGCATCTAATATAATGAAGTTAGAAAACAGTTTACAAGTAGCATTGTTTAAATATGAAAGATATTTGTATAAAATCAGTAATAGAACTAGTCAGCTTGATAAATACTTTCTCTACGATTCTTTATATACTACAAATAATACGAATATGAAATTCAATAATAAACGACAAAATTGTAATCTAAACCCCACCGATAATTGTAAAGATGATAATAATGCAATTGAAAATTCAGAATCTTATAACGAATTAGATTCTATTGCTATCAATAATAATTACTCTTCTACTAATAAAGATATCCCTTACCAACATGTATTAAAAAAATTAGATAACAACACCGTAGATGCAAATATTTTGATTGACAGAAAAACTCTGCTTCAGCGAAGAATAACACGAAACGCTATTTTGCGTGGTCAAGACATACGTAAAAGATCCATCATGACTCTAGAAGATAGCGGCTGTTGTTTTATTGAAGAAGATAATTAAATAATTATTGAATTTAAATACTATACTCAGTGATACTGCATATTTTTAATATTATATATATATACAATAGATAATATTATAATTTTTTTTAACTCCCTCCACAGTATCGACATTCATTCATTTATGTTATATTAAATAAGTATTAACATAATAAATATAATAGTATACCTCCTTTAAATATGAACATTTTTACATTTAACTCATAAATTATTAAATTATTTATGTAGTTAATTTTAAGATAATATAAATTTTGAGTAGAAAACTACTAGCGATCTTAATTTAAAAACGAGAATATAGATATGGCGAAAGGATGCAACGTAACTTGCGAAGTTGTCTAATGATAACCCTGAACTTCGTCTTGGACAATAAAGGAATTATTTTTTTAAATCTGCGCAAAATTAGCAAAATTTTTAAAATATCTAAAAATGAATAAGTAGAATAACTCTAGATACCGATTTAATTATTCTCCTTTACATTATTAATAAGTAGCATTAATATTCACTATTTACACTTACGAAAGAAATTTTTCTTTATATACATAATTAAAATTAGAATATTTCAAGAATTATTTTCTAAAAATTTTCATGTACATAAAATTGTGTATATTAAAAATTAAATTTATGAGGAGAACTCAATTGGTTATACGATATTATTAAATTTCGTAACTGAAAATATCCCCCATTTTTAATATATAATCGTTTGAAATTCGCATACAAAATTTTTCGAATTATTTATAGAGACACCGATTTTAAACTTAAATACCATAAACAAAATAATTAAAAAAATTTTATTTAAAAAAGAAAGCAATATATGACATAACAATACTATAATATAAAACTAAGTATAAAGAATTATAAATAAAATACACAATAGAAAGTTAAAGGAATGTTTAGGACAATAATTTTTTGGACAGAATTATTGTTATAGCCATATTTTGTTTAAGTTTATAAAATGAAAAGATGTATATTTCTTTTACACATAATTTTAAAAAGATTCGTAGATTGTAGCTACAACAAAGTGATTATCCCATCTGTGAAATACTTTTGGCATTTTAATGACTCAGTCCTGAGAAGAAGATATGTTTATTATTAGAAGGGATAAGGGCTCAAATTTTTAATAGATAATTTGTTCTGGACAGGAAACAATCCTAAGCTTAGCATCCTTCTAACTCGTCCCACTCTAGATTGGGGTTATTGAGACGCACCCTGTTAAGTATAGGGTCTATTGAAAAAAATCGAAAAATAAATGAAATACATTTAATGAATTTCTTAAAATAAATTATTGTTGCCTAACAGTGATTAAAAATAAGTGTTATTAATTCATATTTTTTTTTCTTAATATCTGCACAGAGCAGCTTATTAATGGAAGAGAAGAGAAAATTACTAAGAATAAGGTTATAGAAATCGTAAAAAATAATTAATAGACGACCATATGCCTTTTATAAGTCCACTAAAATGATTCAAATTAATTCAAATATGTACGTTGCCTAACTTAAATATAATATTGTGATTTATTAATATGTTCCTTTTCTTCTTTCAATATGAATAATAAAAATAAAGTATACTTTCATTTTTAAAAATTATATTTTCTATTATAGTAATTAATGGAAGTAAATGTTAGGATGAGTACGGATGTTTTGGGACCTATCCTATCCAAAAACTTAAAGATGAGATAGGGCGTTTGATTTTCCACTATAAATAAAGTAACTTACGTTCCATTTTGTTTCAATAATGTATGAATATTATTATATAAGCGTTTCATAAGTTATAAGTGCCTATATATAGAAGTCAGCTGAAGCGCCATTTTGTGGCTTGTACGATAATTAATTTTATTTATTTATTATTATATGAATGTAAATTAATGTCATTTACTCGATGTTCATACCACTAAATGGGGCTACAGCTTGCTTCTATGTACGGACACTTTTAATTGTATTTAACAAATGAATCATCAATCTAGTAGTATATATATCACTGTTCAGTTTACACATTATAGGTGTAAAATTTTGTCATCATATTAGAAGCATTGATTAGTTTAATAATGCAACATATGTTTTTTAACCACATTTATAAAACAATTTTGTACATATTGTCATTAAACATAATTAATATACACACTATTTTATTTGTAAGTTAAAATATTCTTCTATATTCAGTGCTTAGATAACCTCGTAACTATTAGGAAATTTTGTACAATTTATATTTTATTTTGTTAAACTTTTATTTTATTATTTGATCATTTTAAATTTATATTTTTCAGAGTTGTTAAAGTACTTGAATGCAAAATTTATTTTATTTCATATGATTATATAATTTAATTTTATAATATATAAAATATTAAAACTTAAATATAAAAAAATATATATATAAATATTAATTAAATATTATGTGCGAGTTTATCAATAAACCAGGCAAATTTTGATATTACAATGTAACTCAAGGAATCTGCCATTTTTATTTTTAATGGAATTGGTTTATTTTACTATATTAATTTAAAAAATTTATTTTAGATTAATATTAATTAATAGTGATGAAGAGGAAGAGGAAGAAGTAATAATCAATGAAGCATCAACAAGTTCAGACATTATTTTTTATGACAATTTATAGAGCATATTTTAAATAATATTTCAAAATAAAGAAAATCTCTGATAGTTTGCCATATCTATAAAAAAAATACGAAAATATTAGTTAGCATTGTCTCAACTTGCAACATTGTAAAACATTAAAGGGTTAAGATACTAAATAAGTGTTTATAATTTTAATTTTAAATTTTAAGAGAAAAAATCAAAGACTGTTTATGAAAAAACAATTATTACAAAGATTAGTTGATGAATTATAAAGGTCTTCAACTGATTGCAAACAAATAACCTGTGAAAAAACAAATAATTTAATATCCGATTTTTTCAGTACTCCACAGCAGTAGATATGATTGTTAATAATGATTTCAATTTTGATACCCAAATAATTTTTTCGAAAATGAATGTCGAGATTTTAGTATTTTTAAAGAATACCGAGATATAAAATTGTTATTCATAAAATATAATACCACAATCCTTCAAACACCCTGGTAGAAAGACTTTTTAGTGCAGCTAAAAATGTCTTTAAATATAAACGAGGATGCCTTAATGGCCAAAATTTTGAAAATATTTTATTACTGAAATTGAATAATTATTTATAATCATTGAATCATATATTTTCATATATTATATTAAAATCTAAAAATCATTATTTTAGATTTCGATAATCTAGTCAATAAAGTTTTTAGCTCATTTCATACATTATCACAATAAATTCCTAATTTATATTTATGCAAAGCTTATATAATAAAAATTGTATCTATATCTAGATACATTTTAAAATTATATCGGTATCTAGATACATTTTAAAAGTATCTTTTAACAACTCTGATATTTTAATTAACTATATAGATATCGATTATAGTTCAGAAGAAAAAAATATATATAATATAATATAAATTATTTTGGTATAATAAAGAGAAATATTTAGAATCCCTCATCCATTATCTGAAAAGGTTTTTTGTATGGATATTAAGTTTATAAAAAAAAATTTACAGTTACAGCTAAATTCATTAATGTTATGTTGTTTAATATTTTATTTGCTGCAGATGAAGATTAGGGTAATTTTAAATTTAATAATGGAATATTACATCTCTTTAACTTAATAGCAACAAGCAAGTTCCTAACATATTATAATTAAAGTATTGAACCCATAATCTATCTTAATTAGTCATTTACATGTGAGAGCGAATGTCAACAAGCTAAATAGTATAAAGGATTTTTTCACTTTACAATGATTTTTGAATGATTAAGCATACCAATTATCCTACGTGCTCAAGATAAACTATTATGAGGGTGTTAGTTTCAGTTTATCGGTATATTTCATAAATAACTAAACGTTATTTATGATTTATTTATCATTATATTTTAAAAAAGTATCGTTTTAAAACTTAAAACGCAAAAAGACCCATTTTAAAATATTATAAGGTGATCATTCGGTCACCTCCATCTACTATATACTCTGTAACATCTAGCCAGTGATATGCCAAGATTTTTGCAGGACAAAAATATATTCGGCACTATTTTAAAGATCTCCATTCATCTACGCTTATTTTATGATTCGCAATCTGGTAAAAACTGAAAGAATACAACATGACAAAATTTATTGCAATTATATACATGAGTAGAGATCAATGCTTTGCATGCGATATTTTTTATCTTTTAAGGCAAATTGATCACAAAACACAAAAATAAAACCAGTATATATTATTTTATAATTTGTTTTAACTAAACTGCAAATGCCTAGGTAAACTAATGCATATATAATTATATATATATCCTAAGTTAATAATACACGTAGAAGTTAAAGAATTTCAATTATATTTATTTAATACAATAAAAAGAGAGTAATATTTATGAATTTCAATTATATTTATTTAATAAAATAAAAAGGGAATAAATATATATATAATAGAAAGAATATCGAATTAACAAAATATCAAAAAATTATCTTTGATGTTATATAAAAAGTAACAATTTTCTATGTTAAAAATAAAATTTAAGTTATAAGCTAGTTCACGCCAAGATGAAATTAAATATAATAAATGTTTTGAAATAATAAATATATATAAGTTTAAAAATTCTGATTTTATCTTATAAAATAAATAATTAAATTACTGGATATGTTTAATAATGAAGTGATATTAATAATAATAATGTTTCATCTAATCAAATAATAGATGGTTTAAATCGTCAAATGTAACTTTGATATGCAAAGTGATATTCTAATAACATTATTTAAAATAAAATAATTCAAAAAAGTTAGACTTTCGATATTACTCATCAATACGTTCAAGATTTATTATAATCAGCCAAATTCCATAGTTATTAAATTAATTCTTACCTAGTTTATTATATTTTATTCCTTATTTTAATTAATATCATGTTTATATGAGTGCGGAAAAAAATATAACATATTCTTTAC